CTTTCCCCTTCGTAAGTGATTTAGTTGTAAAGAAAAGACAATTATAGTTGGTTCATATTCAGCCAGTTCAAACGAGTGCCACAAATTCTGTATTGTCGTTTTCCTATGCCCCCCTCCCTTCCCTCTTCCCCTACCCCCCTCCCCCCTGATAGAAACCTCTCCAGCCCCGCCACAGTTTACCCCTGATCGTAAGTGTAGCATGCCACAACTTGTAGCCCTAGCCTCTAGTGTACCGGCACTGCGCTGACCGAGAGTTGCTTTTCTATTTTCTTTTGTTTTGTTTTTCATATTTCTTACATTTTTGCCAAAGGCACCTTTAGCTTAGCTTTGTGAGCGTGAAAATATCCCCAAGTTTTGCACATTAATGTCGGCTTGCTGATTGAAAAAGTGTGCTTATCATCAACTGAATAATATTGATGTCTGTCAGCATCAAATGACATTCGCTTCTTTCTACTAGGATATATTATGATCGCTTTTAAGGACAAGCGGCCTAACCTGATTTGGTTTCATTGGTGTGTTTATTTGTTTGGTTGTAGAGAAAACTCTTCTTGTCTTTTAAAGAAACTGAATGAGGGTTAAAAAAAAAAGCTTACCCTTCCAAAGAAATATATATATATATTATATACTTCCCACTTCCCCCTCTGTCTGTCTAGTCTCACGGCTTGCTGTCTTGTACAATGTATTCCTCTGTCTGTCTGTCTAGTCTCACGGCTTGCTGTCTTGTACAATATTTTCCTCTGTCTGTCTGTGGTCTGTGCAGCACAAGAGAATCCTTCCTCTCTCCCACGGGGAGTTTGATTTATTTACTTCTATTTTTCTTAGATTATCATTAAGATTGTCCTTATTTGTGTATCGATAAAAATGTCATCCTTTCGGACGGTAACGTGAATGTTGACAATATTAGGGGGGGAGCGGTGGTGGGGCAATTCCAGAGAATTATAGGCGGTTTCCAGGTTGAGAACAATAGATACAGGGTGCATGGAAGAGGAACCAATTAATTGGAAAAAGAATACTAATCCACGGACAGGAAAAAGAGGCTACAACAGCACCTGGACTCGGATAACTAGATTATTGATGGTCTGTTCCCCGACACTTCTCGTCTACAGCATTTCTTCTTGTTCTGGGAACTCTAGGATTGAAAATCTTCCTACCTGTTGCAGAGACTTGAATTATGATATCCTAGACCAGACATTGTAATGGCCGGCCATAGACTTGAAATATATCCTAGACAAAGTACTGTCATTGGCGCCTCTCTTTCCTCTCTATAAAAACTCTAACGTGCACTGTCTTGGATACTGTAATGCCATAAGTCTGTGGGTTGCCAAAACAGGTTTTTACTGCTTTTTTTGTTTTTGTTTTTTGACTTTTTGTTTCTTTTCTCCCCTGTTCTGTTCATCTTAGCGAAGGTTGAAAGGAACAGTGTAGACCTAACACTTAACGCTTCCACTTGTTTAGCTGAGCTGAACAATTCCCAAGAGGAATCAAATCGTCGCTGTATTAAAACGAACACGACAAAGTGTTTATGGAAATAATAAGTAACCCTATCCGTACGCCCAGGGGTCATTTTGTACCCCGGGGTTGTATTCTTCACATTTTAGAATACTTCTAGTTCGAAGATCTCTTTGAAACTTTCAGTATTTCTCGAAAAAGCGTTTTGACAGACTGCTATGCAAAGCGTACGGATTGGATTAACGAGTAAATTTCCTCTTTGAAAGTGGTGGCACAGAGTTCCCCACGTCGTATGGATACGATAGGAAAACACGACCTACGGTTAGGGATTAGAAGACATGCTTCTGTCAGTTGAGGTTGTTTTTTATGTTAGCGTTAGTCCTATCTTTCTCTGCTCTAATGAGTCTCGAGGAACGTGGGCACCCGTTATCCCGTTCCTTACTGGAACCATCTTTAATGTCACCGTGAAGTTCCGAAATGGTGGGCTCAGTCTCTGCTAAGGTGACATCGTTAGTGTTAGTCTATTCTAGCGGGCCAAGACAAGGGAAGAGAGGAGCTTAGTAGGTAGCTAGTACAGTGGCAGATATCATGTTGGGGATTTTGTAAGCGTGTTGTAGGTAGCAAGTTGGCAACCAGATTATAGACTTAATAATATACAGTAGTCATTTTCTACTCCCTAACCATTCATCCAAGTTATTCTTTCGAGTCTTATTGAAACATGAAGTTGGGGAGATTCCGACACAGGATCCCCGAACCCGAGTGGAGAGGGAACAATTTAAATTGACTGAACAAAGTGAAGTAGATGTCACACGTTCTTGGCGTCTGCTGAACAGACGATTTACTTCTTGTTCCCGCCACCATCAGAACCTTGTATATCTGTCTTATTTAGGAGTTTTTGACTTGTATTTTTGTCACGTGGTCCAGTCTTATTTTGGAGTTTTTGACTTGTATTTTTGTCACGTGGTCCAGTCTTATTTTGGAGTTTTTGACAGATCTATTAATTTTGTCACGACTCGGTGAAATCAGGCCCTGCTCAGTTTGGCGGCATATCAAGTTAGTGGTATCACCTTAAACCTTGTTCATTTGTTGTCTTAATGAAAAGATACCCGTCTATCAAATGAGAGTCGAGATTGTTGTGTTTGAAACAAGAGGAAATGAGGTGGGGGGGGGG